TGGCTGACAGCAGCTCCCTCATTTTTTTCTTCATCTCCACCAAATTCTCAAATCACTCTTCTTTCAGGTCCCTCTACATTTGTGGATACAAAATGAAGTTGCACAGAGTGAGGTCAGGTGACTCAGGTGCTTGGGGCAAGAGTAGCATGCTGTTTTTGGTCAAAATCTGGTTAACTGAGATGGCTGTTGAGCAGGTGCATTAGCATGGTGACAAAAACAGTCTCCTATCTGCCACAAAGCAGGGTCTGTTTTTGGTCCCACTCTGTTACACAACCTTTTCAGGACCTTAATAGAAAGCTTGATTAAGAGTCTGACATGGTGGAATGACATCCAAAAGCACTACTAGGTGACATTTTTGTCCATTTGGGAAGCTGACATAAGTCCAGAACAACGTTTGTAATGAGTTGACATTTCACCTTTTTTGAAATGAGAAACCCACTTATACACTTGAGTTTTTCCCATAATGCTGTCCTTGTAAGCTGTATTCAACATCACAACAGTTTCCGTAGCCTTTTTCCCAAGCTGGATACAAAATTTTATTGCCGCATCCTGTTATCTTAAATCCGCTATCACAAAAAGTAAAGTTTGAGCTTTTATGAAAATATTCACTGTAACCAGAGCAAAACTTCCCAGGCAAAACCACTGGTAGCACTAACTCAGAGCAACTTGCTCAATGTTTGCCTAGCGGGGAAACTGCATATTACAACCGCTTCACCCAGGCCACTTTTTTACTGTTTTTGGGGTTCCTCACTCATACAGTTTTCAACATTTTTTACTGTATCAGAACTTCTAATTCTGGTTAAGACTCAGTGAGTTCCTAGAAATATTCCTGGTTCTCTCACTCAAAAGGGTTTGGATAGACTCTTAAAAATTATTTTAGATGCATCACATAACTGTGAAAGTAAAGAAGTATGATGCAAATATTAAAATTATAACTCACGAAATCATATAAAGACAACCATATAATTAATGACATTTTGATCACTTATATTTTACAATTAATTATAAAAAATGATGACTATAGATGCATTGTAGAATTTCAGATGTGTTACTGTTTTATTAATTTTTGAATTCAAAAAAACAATTTTCAAGTTGATTTTTATGTTTTATGATATTATAGGTTACAGTGTAGAACTGGTTTATTGGATTTTCTTGACTGTATTCATGACAGAACTGACCAATAGATTATTCTTCAGCTGTGCTGTAAAATGAGTTTAAATCACATATCATTAGCTTATTGATGGAGTGCCAACCATTTGAGCCCTCAAAGTCAAGATACAATTGCCATGTTAGTCAGTAGTGTCCAATTCCTCCCCATTGGATTTGAATTATTTCTGACATTTGCAAGCACTATGTGTAGAAGGCATGCTTTCCCAAGATGCTGCCTATATTTTAATAAATTAAATTATGGTAGTTTAAAATTTCATTCTTTTTAAAAGTTTCATGTTTAAGGGATTATGTTACTCCCTATTTACATTGGGTTATCTTATTTGGTCCATTTTTCCATTTGCATTTTTCACTATCATACTTAGTAATACTCTATGAGAAAAATTAGCAATTAACTGAAATTAGATTAATAATTATTCTCACCTTTTAAAATAAATCTATATAGGTGCATTTTTGGTCCTTGCTTATTTTTAATTTGACAAAATTGGTATGTTGTTACACAATTTTGCTCTATATTCTGAGTTTGTAGTGGCATCGTGGGTTATGAATTGGGCTGCTAACTGATAAATCAGTAGATTGGACACACCGATCAGTTTTTAGGAAAAAGATGAGACTTTGGTACAGATTTAAAGCCTCAGAAACCCACAGGGGCAAATTTATTCTTTTCTACATCGTAATTTTAAGTTGGAATTAACTCAATAGCAGTTGTTTTTAAATTTGAGACACATCTTCCTTGTTGCAAAGTTATATTAAATATTCCTCTTAAAATTATTGTTTATTTTTTCAAAATAGTTCAACTACTATCAAGCTTCCCCTCCCACAGGATGATATAGTAATAAAAATTATCTCTTCTCCTCAAAGACTGTACTCAATGATATTTAATTAAAATCTGTGGTCCACCTATTTTCTTTGCTCTCTTTCATGTATGAATTATTCTCATTTGATTTTAGTTTTTCATGTATGTGTCAGGAGATATCTATTTATGCACAATTTAACCCTGTGAAAATTATGAGATTACAAATTCCTGTTTAGCTTAGTAAATTCAGAGCTATGCATCGACTATAGCTCAACTTTGCCATATTTGACTCTTTTGTGACACAATTTTCAACAATCACTCATCACTCACCTTTGATTTAATGAAATCATAATTCCTAAGACCTTTCTTTCAATTAACTTCAATAATCACTCTATCAAATAATAATATTAAAGAGTTTCCCTCTCTTGCAACGTCATGGATGAATAGATGATAGATAGATAGGTTGATAGGTGGATAGATAAAATATAGATAGATAACATAAAATGATAAACACATGACAGATACATTGATAGATGAATAGCTCAAGATATAATTTATAAAGGTGTATGTTAGAAGTGTAACCATATGAGGGTGAGTACAATAAATTTGCTACATAATGCAATAATCCTTTTTCAGCATATCAAAATGTGAAATCATTGTTTATTGATAAATTTACACTAACACCAAGATAGCAATTTAGGTATCAGTGTGGGATTTGAAATCATATTTCTTGAAAATGTTCTATAAGTTTATGGGACAATAAGAACTCAGAAGGACTAAGGTCAGGGCTGTAGGGTGGATGGGATAATTTTCCCCAATGGTATTTTGGTAAGACAGACCTTGCCCCATTGAATAATGAGTGAGCTGTCGTCAATAAGTATTTTCATGGCACAATGTTCCCGGCCTATGTCTT